GCCAAAAAAACTCCTAAAAGGAAGTTACAATTCATAAAACTGTTCATGGCATTGAACTTCTTCATTCAACCTAGAACTTACACCATAAAGAAGCATTAACTTTCCCACCATTTTTTATTTTAATCTTAGTTAAGTGTAAATTTTAGCCTCCAAATCCCTTCCCCTGTTCTTATCTTATATATCACTACACTTGCAAATGAATGAAAACCTCACAGCATATAGATAACATTTAGAGGTAAAACATCACACTGGCAGAATTAAAATAAACAAGTACCTTACAGCAATATCTTAAAAGTAACACAAAAGGAAAGTTATTTACTCTTGACATACATGCTTTGCAGGAGATATTGCCATCATTGTTGCTAGATACTACTATTTTAAATCCAGGACAAAAGAAGCAAAGAAAAGAACGGATAGAAATATTTCAATCCTGAGCTCCTACCTCCTACCTAGAAGGCCTACTGAGATTTTGTTGCCTAAGGAAAAGTGGAACACAGGGGTTCTCTCTTGTTTCTTTTAATTTGTTTGTCCTTTAACCCTTGAATTAGTAGTTATTGTCAGCTTTTAAACAATTACAATGGAAATAATTATTCAGTTGCAGTTGTATATATGTACCAGCAGTTGGCAAGTTTGATTCTTTAAGTATTCAACCAACCGACCACAACAAAACTCCTCCCCCAAACGATCAATCTAAATATAAGGATACAACAAAATCCCAAAGTCAATTGACATGGGATAGCACCACTTAAGTATCAGATTCAATAATTTGTACATGGACACCACAGCCATGCCCATGCATTGTTATACAATCATGGAACAGTTCACAACCCTATCTTACAAACATTTCCAAATATGCAACAAGCCTGGGGCATATTTATGCTTCAGTTGACAGAATGAAGAGAAAGTACAATTGATAACATATTTCAATGGACATAATTGCTCTAGTAGGCAGCTAATGCATACTCAATTCCACTTCAGTAATCAAAATAATCAAGCCATTTCTCTAATAAAGGCAACAGCACAAATCATTAGTTCATTTAAAGTTCCATATAAACATTAAATCACACTTTTTATTCCTTAGAATTCCACCACTACCCAAATAACCAATTTAAAAAAAAAAAAAGGCTTAAAGAGCAATTGAATTACCAGTTCCAACACCCTTAACGCAGGCAGTCAAGGAGTTCCCGTCTTTGCAGCTGTCACCAACACCAACACACGTTTCCGCAATCCCTGACTTGGAATCACTTTCATCCCTATGTGTCTTCTTCTTATTACTATTCTTATCCTCCTTTGCTTCAGCTCCCTTCTCGGCATCCTTACTGTTTGGATTGTTTTCACTATCTATATTCTTTTTCTTCTCCTCATTATCCTCCATTGTTTTTTCATTCTTCAAATTTAAAGCTAAACTTGAATTGTTTCCACTATTTTTCCTTTTGAAGAGGTGTTGGTCTGAATCTGTTTTCTTCAACAATTTTGGATCCAATTTCGCTGGACTGCCCGGTTTAGAATCCGATTTCTTGGCACCCGAACCCCATAAATAACTTGGGGCCGGAGAACTCTGAAATCGGGAAAAAATAATTTTTTAATACTAAATTGTTTAGCGAATAAAAAAAAAAAGAACGAAAAATAATAAATGATAGCGATAGAAAAGGCGGCGTTGCGTTGGTGGTGTCGTTCTTTGTTGGAGATTCATCGGCTAAATATCGAAGCTTCCAAAACGACGAAGCATTGGAAACATCGGCGACGATTAAAAACAACAAAATCGTTGTCGTAATTGCATTTCTCTCCATCGCCCTTCAAAAAAATTAAAAAAATAACAACAAATTTCTTTTTTTTTTTTTTTTTGTTACTTTCGAAGATACAAACACTAACTCGAAAGAAATCATTAATCAAAACGAAAAAATTCTACAAATTCAGCTTTAACAAGACGCCAAAACTTATATTTCACGCAATTCGCTTAAATTTTTAGGAATAAAAAGTATAATTGCAGACGACGAGTAAAGACGATGATGAGGAGTAATAGTATTGAATTTCTAGTTGGTTAATTCACAAGAAGACAACTTAAGCTCACTCACTGAGTCACAACTTTTTTTCTTTTGTCAAAGTCACGCACAATTTCTAAACGGTAAATTTAACACAAATGAATTAAATAATTGATACGCGTTCATTTAACATTATATTAATTTATTAATTTACTTAATTATATCCAAATAAATACGAATCATTTAAATTTACTTATAAATTTTTAAAATTTCAAAATTGATGTATAAAATAAAATTTCATCTTAGAATTAAACAAAAGCCATTAAATCGATAACTGTAAACAACATTTAAAATTTTGAGATCATTAATGATATTTAAACATGGATTATTTATTTAAATTTTAAAATCATTAAATAATAATTTAGCTGGTGCTTTGAAATTTTGAGATGATTACTGATATTTAAAGATAAATTAATTATATATTTGGTACCAAAATTATAATTCAATTAAATATATTCAAAATTTTTTATTTTAATAAAAACGGTTGTCCGCTTTACACTATGAAGACTATCTAGACATTTCCACAAAATCATTATGTAAAAATAATAAAAAAAAAAATCTAGAAAAACATTTGTGGTATATATTTTTCAGGGCCAACAAAAATATATTGTTGAATTAACTTTGGTTTTTTTAGTACCTCTTCTGTCCTTTTTTTTTTCAATTATTTTTTTATATCCCAAAATTATATTTTATATTTTTTTTAAACATCTAAAATTTTTTATTTTTTAATATTAAAATTCATGAAATTTTAATTTATAAAAATTTTAAATTTTAATATTAAATATATTAAAATTAATTTTTTAAAAATTTCGTAAAAATCAATACATAACAAATATTATTAAATCATATCTAATGGAAATACCCTAAACAAATGCTTATAAATATTCGATATTTTGAAAATAATAATGTGATTTTCATAAAATATGAATATATTTTTCTCTCTCTCTCTGTCTCTCTCTTTCTTTTATATTGTTTTAATGTTATTGTTTAAATTTCTGTTCTCGAAAATAAGAAATTCAATTCAAGCCGTATAAACATAACTGTGATAGTTGGGAAATTGGAAACCATTAACTATGCACATTTATATTGAAATTGTTTTAAGCGTGAATTTATTAATTGTTAGGAGGACAGAACAGAACGGCCATTCAATTGCCACTTGCTAGTAGCTGCAGGACAATGACTAGAGATTGTAACGTGATAGGTTGACGCGGGATTTTATTGATCTTGAATTCTATTTGATTTTATAAATTTAATATTTAAATTATATCTAAATTTATATTAAAATATTATTTTTATATTCAGATATGATTTAATTTGTATTTAAATTCATAATTGATTTGATTTAACTTGAAATTAATAAAATATTAATTTTAAATATAAAATATTATTTAATTTATTTTTTAATATAAATATTATCTTTTTAAATATAAATAAATATATATTTATATATATATATATATATTGTGAATTGAAGTGAAATCGAAATCCATCTAATATAGTTAGAATACCAACCCTAACAGTGATTCAAATTCTTTTTTTTTTTTTTAAGTTTTGGATGGAATAATTTAAATTCAATTAGAAATTTGATAGTCTAGCTAGTATTTATGGAATCTAAAAGCATTGGAAAAAAAAGGAAGAGGAAGGATACCTTCTCCCTATTTACAGCCAAAGCTTTGAAAGATTGAGAAGTCCATGCAGTAGGTAATCTGTTCTGTTGACGCTTTGCTGCTACTTTGCTAATGATTATGAATAATACGACTTTTGAGCAGCTAAGGAAAATGGGTTCAGCTAATGAAAACAAAAGCATGGACGAGATATCAGTTTTTCTGAGAAGGTTTGGTGATGAGCAGAGCACGCTGCTGGACCAGTTTGAGAGGCTTTCCTTCGAGGTGCAGCTGAACCAAGTCATATTGGGTAGGAGTCTATCGGAGCCAAGCGTGGCTAAAAGGTCGCACTGCTTACAGGTCCAAGCTCCACCGCCAACGGTGCCACAGGTGCGTAAAGGGCGTCGTGGGTCTGGCTTCAACAGGGTCCTGAAGACGTTTCTCAAACCAATTCTTGGTAGGGAAGAAAATACTGGAAAAAGGCCAGTGGCTGACCCCGCAAATCCCATATCTTGGAAGGCTTTTAGCAGATCTCTACGCTTCTGATGAAAATAGACGTTCTTTATTCACTTTGCCATCCATGTTGTAGCGATCTTTCTTTGTTTTTATTTCTTCTTTGGCAATGGCAATAAATTATTTTACGTATTCATTAAGCAGATGCCGTAACAAATAGATAAAGAAATCATATATGATAGGATCAGAAGTCTCTTTCAGTCCCGCCTTCACTGTCTTTTCCCCTTTTGAGCTTCTATAGTCCAACCGCTTACTATAACAAAACCGTTACGTTTCGTTTGAGTGCTTTTGTCTCTGGATAAGGATCCATCACAACGCAGTCCATCATTGCAAGCTTCTGCTTATTGCGAGGGTATCAGTGCCATGCAAAACCCTAGCGGAACAACGTCCTCACGCAGCCTCATTTCCTCTGACAGGAGCTCCATTGACTTTGTTAAAGGAGGGAAGCCAGACAGCTTGCATTTTGACGAGAAAACTGGTAGAATTTTGGTTGTAAATTTCCTGGACAAAATTAATGCAATACCCTTTAAAGACACGAGTGAAATTCTCAACATTATGGAGAAAGATGCTACCAACTGGACGTTACCCGATTTCAATGGTCTGCCGATGGCATTGGTTACAGCAAATGAACCTGATCTAGCCTTGTGAAGGATTCAAGCGCTTTGCATGGAGGAAAAGATTTGTGAGGCATTGGTAGTGTTGGTTAACATGTATGAAAATGGTAACATCCTATAAACAGGGCCGGTTGTTCTACGGTGCTGCTTTGAAGCAGGGGGTTATTCCACAGAGGATACTGCTAGGATGATGGCAAAATTGTTCATACAAACCATCTTTCCTGTAATTGTTCATACAAAGACGTAAAAATCCAAGAAAACAAATGCACAAAATATCTACGACCATATAATACTGGAAACTACTGCGTGCAACCTCTCACCAGTCCAGCTAGGGCTGGTGCAAATTCCTTAAATCAAAATTTAAAGTAGAACAATCTGGCATTGTTAAATGTTAATTTATATAAACAAATAAATTAAAAGGAAAAAAAAGCCAATTATAAGAATTCTCCAAGCCAAAACTTATGCGCGGTTCATATATTGCCCAGTTCTTGTATCCACCAATATTTGATCGCCTATGTTGATAAATAGCGGAACATTAACGACTGCTCCTGTGTCAAGAGTTGCAGGTTTGGATCCACCTATGTCAACATTTTATTTCTCAAAGTGATTAGGCCAAAGAAAACCAAAAGTAATATGTTGCAACTTGCAACAAAATCAAAATAAAAGAATAAAAAAGTGCAGCAAACATAAGGGCTGACACATAATAGTTGCATGGTTGTGACTCTCGTGAACATAATACAGCAAATAGTCTTTTCTCGCTTTCTGTTTCAAGGAAATGCAAAAAAGGAAATGCAGTGGAGTGATATTCAGGAATTCACAAATCAAACAATTTATAGTCAGTTTTATATCATAGTAGAATTGTTGCAAATTTACAAATTAGACCAATAACATAATGGATTAGAAGTTAGGACCTTAAAGAGAAGCTATATTACATTACCTGAAACTGTGTCACCTTTGAGGCCAGGATCCACATCAACCACAGCAAGCTGAACCGTGATGGGGAGTTCAAAATCAATAACCTACAAGAAGGTGCAGACAGATAAGCAGCATCAATAGTAACAGCAGTAACAAGCAACTACTACTCCGGTAATAATGCTAATCTTTGCTATTAATTACATGATTCCATAAAAAGCAACTGATAAGTCATTTTAAGTAAACATAAAATGCTGATGCTACAAGAACAGCATCTAAGAGAGGGAACTATCTCAGTCTTTCTAAGTGCTATAGAGCACCCTCTTGAACACAGATTTCAAACAAGAGCATAAATCCATATATATCAAAAACATCAAAATTCAAATAACACACAGGAGATACATGAACTAAAAGATATTATAAAGTACCTTTCCATTCCAGAAGAGCAAATTGCAGTCCATTCCCTCTTTCAACCACTTTGTCTTGTCCCCAACATCTGCCTCATTGAGACGGATTTCTTCAAATGTGTTCTGTAAGAAGTTAAAACATCATTATAAGAATGACATGGGAAAGAAATAAGACAAGCATTTTAATACAACTGTTAAAGAGAAAAAGACTAAATCGGCACAGTTATTGAATCTTCCTAGCATTAAGAGCATGAACTAATTCCATTGCAAGTATCAAAAAGAGGATCATTAGCTACTGATTATGCAAAAGATAACCAGCTACTACTTAGTACATGAACATATGGTATTTGCTCAAATTTTCAGTAGATTGATAATAAAGGTATAAGCTATGGAATTCATTTATTTATGGCATCCAATGAGTTGTATTATATGAATATACTGAAAAATACCAAGTCCATGAAGACAAATTGGGATCCATCTTTGTATGTGAACTGCTTGGCTTCCTTGAAAACATTTGCCTCATCAATCTGTTAAAACAAGTGTACATATGAAGGCATGAAAAATTTTTTTGACATATTCCTAAATGAGTTAACTACAAGTTTTGCACCTGAACTTTGGAAAAGGTACAAATTGATAAAATGATATATTATTTGAAAGTTTAGGGTTCAAATTCTACATTTTATTTCTTTAGGCACCACTTTGTACATTTTCCCAAAGTTCAGGTACCAAAAAACCTATAGACATATTCCCAAAATGCATGCATTGCTAAAGGCTTCACAAGGACCTTCCTAGTCCAACATATTCCTAATCTTATCCTCAACAGAACAAGGTCATAATCCTATCCTTTAAGTGCTATTAACCTCAAACTGTGAGTTGAAGTTGCAACGTATTATGATAGAGTCTCAAATGACACATCAACTTCGTGTTAAATAGAGATTACCGTACTTCCAGCTCGAAAAGTCTTCTCAACAGTGTTTCCTGTTATATAGTTGCGCATTTTGGTCCTCACAAATGCAGCCCCCTTTCCAGGTTTCACATGAAGAAACTCTTCAAAGAGCCAAAATTTCACATCAGAAAGACTAAATACAGCAAATAACGAAAACAATCAACCACATTTCATGCAAATTAAACTACTCAATACTTATTAACAAAGCACATGAAATGTACCCAAAACTCGCCAAGGAGCTCCGTCAACTTCAAGGTTTGTACCCACTTTGATATCGTTACTAGACAAAGCGTAAATCCCTGCAACCAAATAAAAAATAGATTATCAAAGAAATGGGTATTTTAAAATAGACAGAATGAAGTGGGAAAGAGGAAAGGTACTGAGAATTCTGAGAGGAAAAGGCGTTTTTGGAGAAAAACGCGTTGGAAGAAGCAATGGCTTTGAAGAAAACTTGAGTGAAGATGAAGTGTGGAAGATGGAAGTAGCGGAGGAGTTATTGAAGGTTACAGTTCCCAGCGTGGCCATTTGGGAAAAGCAAGAGAAAAAGTACAAAGATGTCCGAAAATGCTAGATACAAGAATTTAGATTGAACATAACCTTTTGCTTGCTTTGCTTAGATAAGGGGAAGGAAAGTCTAAAAGGATTGGGCTTTACCGTTTCTTTAGTTTATGTTTGGACTACAAAGCAAATTTCTTCCTTTGTTGCTGCCCAAATTTGTTTACGTGGGCCTTTAAATTTTTGTTTAATTTTTTATTTTTGTTATTTATACTTATGAGAAGCTTCTTGATCATTAAAAATAAAAAGGGATAAAAACAAAAAGAAATTATTAATCAATTAAATAAACTTCAAATCAATTAACATAAGAGAATATGGAAATTAGTTGAATCAATAACAATCAAACACTTATAAATTTAGATTCAAATTTTCTTACAATCCATTTTTCTTGATAATCGATTTATAAATTTAATATAAATTCTTGTTCAGACTTACTATATATTATAATCATAATTTTCCTCTTTGCTAATCGGGGAAACATGTCATACAAATTCGATTACACACTTGTCAGAACCTCTTGGAAACTCTTCAATCATATCTTTATTTAGCTCTTGCTCCGAAGAATCCTCATCAAACATGATACACATCTTCTCCAAGACTCTGCCATTTTCTAGCAAATATTTAACCACTTCTGCTTCATCTTCCGATCCCCATAGATATCTCATCTTAATTTCCTTGAGAAGTTGCAATAAACAGTAAGGCTGAGGCATGGGTGGAATCCAACCGAAATTAGCTTAAACATCAAGTTCTCCGTCGGATTCATCCAATGCTTCAGTCAATAACTCCATTCTTTCCTGATGAATAAGCAAAATTATAACCAGGGAAGTTAACCGTATGAACCATTTAGCTAAAATATTTCCATTAGATAAAGAGCACTCACCCTCTCCAACACAAGGAATTCGAGAATAGGTGAGTTCCCTAAGAAGTGAGGCAATGATTTCCAATCAAAGAAATGATCAATCCCCATTTCAAGACGCAGCAAAAATAGAAATGTGGGAAAATCGTCATCAAAAGCAAAGCTGAGAGCCTTCAATCAACATAGAAACAAGAATCAAATCAATAAATTAATCAGTAGCACTGAAAAACGTAGCAAACAGCAGAAGAACGGCCATGAAAAATAACTTACAGCAGTAGTACTAGCCGATAGATTTAGAAATTTGGCATTTCTTATTCCTTTGAGAATTCCCATCATCACTTGATGGGCTTCTTTCTGGGATACTTGATCCTTGTAGAAGAAAGTAGAATGGCCAATGCTCACCTTGGCTTCAAGTAGGGAGGGTATTTCATCTATCACAAAATAAGCCATGGAGTCATCTTGAATGGTAAGATATTCAAGGTTTGGGGTCTGAATAATGAATTTTTGATTTGAGAAATACTCAAATCCTCAGCAAAAGTCAATCTTCAACCTTTTCAGAGTTGGTCTAGAAATTGCGAAAGTATGCTCAACCTGATCACCACCATCCTGCTTAAGATTTCCATAGATAAACAAATCTTCGAGCACCGGACATCTACAAAATAACCTACTCAAAAACTTGCAATTCGGATGAGAGGCATCAACATGAAGGACTTTCAAACTGGGGAAACGTTTGATTGTTGAAGGAATAGTGAAAACGAAGTCGTTTCTAAGTTTTAGTACCACCAGTGATTCGCAAGTTGAAAAGTTTTCAGGCAACCTAACAGGGATTCTTTCCTCATATTCCAACAAAAGGAAGAGATCAAGCTCCTTCACATTGCAACGCAGCGCATAGCTAATCCATGCATTGACGCGACGTAAATCGCTGTGTCGTTGGAAATCATAAAATCCCAGAGTGAATGTCTGAATATTTCTGGATCCACGAAGGCCAAGAACTCGGTCCACAAAGTCCGCAAAAACCTGATTTCTACCCTCCATTTCACGGAAGTGAAAATCATTGAAGTTAAGACTGTGGATATAAGTCCAAAGGTACCTCCATCTTCTGGACAATACGGCCGTTTGAACAGCTTCTTTTGTGTTAAGATAAGAGAGGATATGAGCCACAACGTCATTAGGCAATTTGCTGATAAAATCTTCTTTGCCGACTTTCCTGGTATCCATTTGCCAAGTTAGACTTCGGACGCTTGTACCTTACCCTGTTGCTGCAACTGCAACACCCCAAAAAATATATATAGAGTTTTGGAATATGGCAAAGGCAAAAACCATGTAAAACAAGTAAAAACAAGCATGAGTAGACGAAGAAACAAATTTCCATAAGATGTGACCTTTGTATGACTCTTAAAAAACAACTAGAAAAAGACCTTGGGAAATGGTGTTTCATGTTCTCTTCAACCGTGATAGAAGAAGAGCATAAAGATTTCGAAAGAAAATGAATGAAAAAAGAAACGAAGTTTGTTCAATTTTATAGCAGTAACAGATATTGAGAAGAAAGAAAGAAAGAAAGAATGATTACTTACGAGAAAACAAAGTTTCTAAACCATCTAAGTAGGATCAGAAACAGAATCAGTGAAATTGTTGAAATGTATAGAAAAAGTTTTTGTAATATTTGTTGAAATGATACGTCTTTTCATGAAATAATATTTGATAAATAAGTATGATTTTTCGATAATAAATAAATATATCTTTTTTCATTTAATAAACAATTGTAACTGAGCCAATTAGGTTGAAAACCAGTTCCCAAGCCAAGACCAACGCTGTTATTGGAGTTGGCTTTTTGATGTATTCATTTTTTTTTTTCACAAACCCAATATCGAACTAAAGAAAGACTTTGAGCCCTAGAAAAAGACCAAACACGAAACAACCTTAAATCTAAAATAATCTGAAATTGACTCGAGTGGTGGTAGTTAACGCAGGTGCGGATATATAGAAGAAAACTCTGATCAAGATTATGAACATATAGTATATATTTATATGATAGCGTTCGGGAATGGAAGAAAATAAACGACTACTCCATTTTCTGATCGGGCTTGCACTCTTATCTACAAAACAGCATCCTCTTTACTCATCATCAATAGAGGGGCATATTATAAACAATCAAAATCCTTCCATACTAGCCCTTCTAAGGGTTGCAGATGATGATCTCCGACTTTCTTGCCTTTCAAGTTCCGCCAACAAGAGGGTAGAGGAACAAGCTCGAGGGGGAAGAGCCAATGGCAAAGTAGGTGGTCTTGCAGGAGAAATAGACGGCCGGGCTCCTGATGGTGGTGATGGTGAGAAACTTAACCTGGGTGCAGGAGTAATGATCCCATTGAGACTAGGGACCTTGAAATCTGTTTTCCAGCAATTGCCGCTGGCTTGAGGAAACCGACAAGAATATTTCATGCCTTGGATGATTTTGAGACGTTCAACTATGGTTCTCAGTCGGCCTTTCTGATGGGTCCTTCTAGAGACATCTTTGTGCAATGTCAGCCACTGTACGAGCAACTTTCTTAGGAAAGCGACCTTTGGGCTGAGAATCCATGATTAGTGACAATCTGCAATCCTATGGTGGGCGCCACTTCACTAGGTTCCTCTCTTCCCTGGGATGACAGCTATCAAGGTTTGTACTTATATCGGCTATTTCAGACCGATGATACGATACAATGCGAAAAAAATTGCATATATATTTTAAAAAATATATTTTATATATTTTTTTGTGTTTATATAAATTTTAATATAATATAATTCGTGTTATATATATTAATTAATTTAAAGATGTATATTAGTTCTATATATTATTATTTTATTATTTAATTTTTAATAATTTATTATTTTGAATTTAATATTAAAAATTAATATAGTTATATAATGTAAATTTTAATTTAAATATATATTAAATACATATTAAATGAGTATTAAAATTTTTTTAATATGTAAGTATATTTTTATATTATTAATATGCTAAATTTATTAAGTTATAAATTATAAATAATTTATAATTATTTATTATTTTAATCATATTTTTGTATATATTCATATTAATTATATTTATTCATGTATATCCGATTAATAATATCTATTCATGCATATTTGTATATTCGTATTTAAATGAATTAATTATAAATATATTAATTATATCTTGTAATATGTAATGTGTAATATGTATATTAAATATATCATATTTATATTTAAAATTTAAATGTAACAAGTTAAAAGGCAAAGGCCCAGGTAAGCAAATTTGAAACAAAGGAAGAGGTTTGCTTTGTAGTGCAAACATAGGCTAAAGAAAAAGGTAAAAAGCCGAATCCTTTTAGACTTTCCTCCCCTTTATCTAAGCAAAGCAAGAAAAGGCTTCTGTTACAACTAAATCCTTGTCTCTGGCATTTTCAGACACCTTTGTTCTTTTTCTCTTGCTTTTCCCAACTGGCCACGCCGGGCACTGCAACTTTCAATATCTCCTCAGCTACTACTGTCTTCCGCACTTCATCAATTTAATTCAAACCAAAATGATTTTAATTCTAACAGATAATTAAAAATTAGTAATTTAAAATAAAATAATTCAAATTAATTTGATGAAAATGTTTGAAAAAAAGATTTTTTACTATTTTTACGTTCAGGGTTTAATTTTTTTATTTTTGTTTATTTATATTTTTAAAATTATGAAAAAATTGTTGAATTTTGGAATTTGTTAAGTGGAAAAAAATTTTCTCCGCATAAGAAGATTGAGCTTCAAAAAATATATATATTTTTATAGTACCATATACTGTGACTATAAGAAGCTTCTGCATTATTAAAAATGGTAAGGGATAAAAATAAAAAAAATTATTAATCAATTAAACAAATTTCAAATCAATTAACATAAGAGAATATGAAAATTAGTTGAATCAATAACAATCAAATACTTAAAAAATTTAGATTCAATTCTCCTTACAATCGATTTTTTTTTTTTTTGATAATCTATTTATAAATTTAATATAAATTCTCCTTCAGACTTACTACACATAATATAATCATAATTTTCCTCTATATGCTAATAGGGGAAGACGTGTCAATCAAATTCGATTACACACTTGTCAGAACCTCTTGGAAACTTTTCAACCATATCTTTAGCTTAAAGTCTCTCTAGAGAATCCTCAGTTTGCTTCTTGTTTTATAGTATGATAATATTCCAATTTTATTGCAACTCAAAATCCCGGTAAAATGCAATATTTTTTTTTTTTTTTTCCATACACTATCCAGAAAGAGAAAAGAATCCCGAGACGTTTTAGCATTCTCA